GCCGTGAGTGGCGCAAAGTGAGGGCAGTCGGTCACCGTACCCACTGAGTGAGCCAATATCATGTGACCCGATTATGCCCATCAACGCTGCGGCATCACGCCCAACGCGCGCGTTGAAATCACCCAGCAGGAGTCGGTTGTCGCTCCTCGGTACAGAACGGGCCACGGAGGACAACTGAGAGTAAGACTGATCATTTGCCATCAGGATAACACATAGAGGAACAATACGAGCTAACAAAATATACCAACATAAGTCGCACCAGACGTAGTTCTCAATCGTGGGCTGATGCCAGTCGTCCATCCCAGCAACTGGCAATTTAGGCGGTCGGAGATTGCAAACTGGACCCCAAAATTCACCTGATGCTGTGGTGACGTTTACCCACCAAGTAGAACGTATAACCAGCGCCAGTCTCATGCAGCTTTCCTTGCTCAACGAGCCGGGTCACATTCAGTGCAGCAATGTCGATACCATAGCGCGCGGGTGGGCAATGAAGCTACTGACGACTAAACTCAGTGCCGTTGGTCCGTCTCACGTCCCAGACTGGAGTCCACCTGAATCGCCTCGTGACTGACTCGAGACCTTACAGGACATGACTCGCAGTCGACACCAGCGGCGTGTCTGCTGTCATCTCCTAGTCGGATTCCCTGTTTAAAGTGTGTTTGGTGCTGAGTTATCTGCGAGATAATGGCTGATTATGACGCAGGGCAGTGAAAGCCTCCAGGAAGTTGTCTCGCCGATGCCACCTTGTGTTTGCAGAATAGTCAACAGTTTGTGACGGTATGTTGTTGACAAAGCTTAGGCGCCTTGACCCCGAATGTTTGTGTAGGGCATTAAGGTTTTACCGTAGGTACGTATTCTCTCCCTCTTAGAGTTCTTCGATCCGTAGGTTACCGTGATTGTACGGTAGCGAAGCATCAGTTCAAATGGCAGATGTACTGCTGTTGATGATCAGCATGCGACTTCCATCGCGACCAGCGCGTTGTTCGTGACTCACCTGTGTTCCGGTCGAGTTGTGTGAGCACATTCCAGCACCCGATATTAAGCGCCTTGCGCGAAGGTATACGATTGCGTTGGACGACCGCTCGCGTTGTGACCTGGATTAAGGGAAGTGGTGGATTAGTTGAAATGTGAACGGGGAGAGAATGTAGGGAGGGGTCAGCGGTTGGATGTTACGGTCTATCCACGCCGCTGTATGCAGCAGATAAAGCGAGCCTTCCCGCTCTGCTACCAACGCGCAACGGCCGATGCAGCCCGATATTATCGGTATTGCCGTGATTCATAGTTCCGTTATGGAGTGGTGTACTACCAGAGTGTCCATACCTGAACGGAACGACTAGGGTCCTCAGTCAGGCAACGATAAAATGCGCTGCCAAAAAGCAGTGGGCTGTGCGCCATGTGTCAGTGAACCGACTAAAGCTGAAGCTGTCCTAGATTTTAGCTAAAGAAGGGCGTAACCCAACTCCCACCCAACGGTCGCTACGAGGCGGCCGGAATATGAGTTCATGGCACAACATTAGTAGCAGCGGGTCGACAATCTGTCAGGATCTCGCCAACACAAGCCTCAGCGAGCCATGGATTTCCCCAAGAGTGTACCATTAGCCTTACCTGGCTCATTGCCGAACGTTAGAGAACATCCCGTCAAGAGCCAGCGACCTTAATTGGTCGAAAGAAACCAATCATGTTTGTTGCTGTCCTGGGCAGCAGTGCAATATCCAAGTCATATCGATACGCTGCAGGTTAAGTTCCCGAAAGAGGCAACCACCACCGTGTCATCGAAAATATAATTTAACTGGCGGCATTGAGCTTTTAAGCGTCCGTTGCCGACGACTACATAGGTTCAAGTGCATTGAGCTGTATATTTGCGATAAACTGTGCGATTTACAGAATGAGAACAGACAACAAAATGTGTGTATTACTTAGTGGAACAAGTTGAGGGACTTATCCAAGTTTCTAAATCGTAATGCTGCTAACAAATATTCTGTGGATCTAAGGTACACCATCAGCGTAAAACGGTAGTAGACCGACAAGTGTGTTACCATGTAATCGGTTACCAAAGAGCATAGGAGACAAATATATGAGGATCCTACCATGTGTAAGCAGCGACTAGCAGGCAAAGGCGGTTGAATAGAACAAGATTGCAATTTCTAAACTGTAAGTACTATAATTTTCGTTCAAGTAGTAACACTGGTCGCAAAATGCTGTTCTAAATTATGTCTGATGCATTATTTTTTCAAAACAAATAGGGCCTAAAATGCACACAGGACTAGCAGACGCATCCACTAAGCTTCACGAGGATTTAACCCCCCCCCCCCCAAGGAACATACAACCTTCACACCGAGTAACTGTCCGTTGCACAGGTGCCCGTTGTTGCACGGCTGAGTAATGGTGACCCGAATTCGGTGGAAAATACATACCGAAATATGCAGAGGTGTAACAGTTAGACTGAAGTTTGGGGGAGCTATGTTGTTGGCGTACCCAAGGCTTACACCATGCAGTCGTGAGTGAAAAACAAATTGTACGCCCAGTACTTCTACCATGGTCTACGACTTTCATTAAACAGTCCTTTCATTCATAATTATTTGAGACCTAAAATTAAAAAGAGAGGATAAAATACAATAACGACGCACACGGTCCATAATGCCAAGCTCAACGGGGAGCGCTTCATGGACCTGTACAAAGTACTGTAAGGATTTGAATATGTCAGGAGACTTTCAAATAAAGTCATATAAACTGATGCGAACATCTGAACTAAAGTGACTTGCACATCAAGGAAAACATCCGTGATAGATTGTCTGTGTTGATTAAGTTCCTCCAATCAGGATGGATGCCGCCTTTAAGTTCAGTGACTCGATTTCCGTAATAAAAGCAGAAGCATGGCATAATGATGCTTGCGAGCAGTTAGCAGGCACTCGAAATGACTAGAGTAGTACACTTTGTCATTTTTAAAGATGGGGCTGAATTTTGATATTTATCAGACGAAGCACCAGGGAGCCTTTATCGTCCTCTAGCAACGGCTGGGGGAGGACATCCGACGCTGACGCTTCGTCTGGTCATAAACAAGCTCGCTTCGGATATTTCTTCATGCTAAGTCGTAGGGTAAGCAAACCAAGAGAATTCAGATGATTCAGAAAGCAGTTGTGGTCATGTCTGGTGGAAGAATTAACTACGAGATGTTCCGCTCAGTTTTCAAGTCGACAAACATAAAGATGGATAAGCTTGCTGTTTTCCCAGTTACTCTCTCGCTCATAATGGCGTTTACAATAGCCCCATTATGTCTAAGTTGGGAAGGGAATCAGGTAGCTCCAATAACGCCATGAATTCGGTTGAAAGGCATCTACAACTCACTGACGTTCTCGCTTTATCAAGAAATACAGAATTACATACTGCTCCAGTGATCACGATGTGAATGCTTACTTATAAGAATAATTTGATGCGCTTCAAACAGCGAAATCCCATTGACTATTCAGGCGCCTTAAACTAGGCGGACAGATGACATCTTCTCACCGTAGATTTGCGCATTTGGCGTGAACAGGATGCATCGACGTTCGATGAAAGCATACTCGACTGATGCGTTCCTCTAACACCCACCTCGTTTGTCAGTGACACGACGTTTCAACTGTGATTGGCTTTATAGTCGTGGAATCTTGGTTCAAATACCACGTGAATGTAAGGGAAATAGAAGGTTTCGTTTAGTTGAGGGAATCTAGCAGAATTTAACCTAATGAACCTACGAGGTACTGGAGAGCGGCCTCAGTCCGGCAGCGTGATTGCAGTCTTATGGGAGCTGCTTCAGGCAGGCTGCACTCAAGTTTACGTAGTTCCGATTAACGTCACCCAACTGTATCAGATGGCACGCCCAGGCAAGGTCAAGCGTATGCGTTTTGGCACTAAGGTTCGGCGCAAACCGCACGTTCATGAATTGATACCACAGCTTCGAAGAAACGCCAGGGTAGGCGAAGGTTGCAGTCACCACTACATTCATATGGCCAATCAAGAAAGTATCTTTACACGTAATCGGGTAGCAAGATGAATACTATAGTGGCTGACCGAAGAAATGTCAATGGAACTGACAGTACGCCATTAGCCATTAGAAATCCTAATACCATTCAGAGCGCCATAAGTTGAAGGGTGCCTGGCAAACATCAGCCAAGTCACCAATTTAATGAATTGTATAAATCAGTCAAGTAAGTATCCAAGAATATCCACACACAAAGACATTGTGACTAGGTTGCAAGGAAAAGTTTCGTGCACAAACACACAAATGTCGTAAGCTGTTGTGTTTAAATGAATCGGATCTTCCGATGAGCAAGATCACATGGAGCCAACAAAATTGACGCAGTTGTGAGAAATTACTGGACTCGAAATATTTTGCAAGTCCGAAGAGTCCGTTTGTGCCTATGTAAGACCAGCAAACAGGACTTGTTATGTGCGGTGCGTAGATGCGTGAGAGCATAATAAGAAGAACTTGCTAACTGAAAATCAAATGCACCAAAACTGGATATGGATAGTATGAAAACGTGTAATCATGGAGTGAACGAGGACAATTCGGAACAGTTTACTCACAGTGGAGATTACAATGCCTAATGCCAATGAACGAACCACGTGGCAAGAAATGGTAGTACATAGAAGCTGTCATACAGATGACTTCCCTTAGCAGCCTCGATACTACAATGTTTAAATACGATTGGCTTTATCAGACAAACTATTTGTTATATGATGACATGCTAAACCGCTATAGTCAAGCTCACGGGATGTGACTAGCAACAGCAAAGCGGACTCCAAAGGTGACTGAACGTAAGTTTCATGTTAAGTGATTGTTTAGAAGATTAGTTTTATATGGACGTGGCCAGTAAGAGGCGTTTATGAATAGTGCAATCGGTCTATACATGCAGTGTGAAGCCGATGGGCTCTCAATTGAGTAGATCAACAAGAAGCGCAGATGAGTCTAGATAACGAACACACTGCGGACCACTAGATGACCATGATGGCAGAAAAATGTTCCGACAGGAGCAGTTTTGATAGAAATGAGTATCGTCGCACGAGTACAACCAGTGAGATCAACAAATGACCATCGGATATTAAATATACACAAAAGTGCATCAGATAGCGTCTGAGCACGCTCCGATACTGACAAGGCGAATTCCAGACAAAAACTGCGCACAGGTTTGCCCTAATGCGAAGAATACTACTGAAGATAACGGGGTAAGGTAGATGGAAAAGTGAAGATGAACAAGTAGAAAGAAGGAGAATAGAGAGAATGCGGTGCAAACAATTAACAGAGACGAGGAGAGATATCAAGGAAAGTAGCTCCACCGGGACTGTCATAGCGTCAGTAACAGTCAAGCGAGAATGAGCAACGTGTGTGTATAGAAGAGGGATGCCAAAGCACATAGCCAAAGAGGGATGCTGTTGCAGGATCTGAAGAAGGGGGCGGGTCAGGGGAGAAGGAAGGAAGTGGGACATGAATGGATTGTTCGCCAAAGGGCGCTGAGCTCGAATCATCTCATCTACACCACTGGAATGCGATAGCAGCAAGCACGATAGACAAGGGGGGTGGAATTCACTAAGCCATTGATCTGTAAAGGAAAGGAGAAAGGAGATAGAGCAATGCAACAACGGGATACAAAACAGAAAAGTGTGCCACACTGTGACCGAGTGAAGTGTGTTACGGATTGAGGATGAATTGGGGACACCGACGGTGGGAATGTGATGATGACCACACGATGTACAACTAGGCATGATGGCCGGCAAATTAATTTAGATGAGAAATCGCACGCACGCACACGAGCAGATCGTATGCTGCAACATTAGGCTATCTAATGGACCCATTTGTTCCAGCATGTGCAGGCCATGCACCCGGTAACTGTCGCTGGCACATCATAGAATGAACATACCTAGAGAATCAAACATGTGCGCTTGGGCCTAGCGAGTAACAGTGCACGGGACAGTACGAATAGGTGAGAAAGCAAAAAATAGGCACTGGATTGAAATGTCAATGCAAAGGGAACACTAAATACCAGGAGGACATTATCGGGTCAAGATAGGATATAGGAGTGTAGACAACACCGCTAGAGCTAAACGAAATCTGTGCACTAGTGGAGACAAATACCCGAGATCAACCCATCTGTATGGTGAAGAGGTTACAAATAAGAAAACCGCCACCTAATGACGCCTGAAAAAACGTTCGGCGGAGCTGACACACCATCTCTCGTGGTAGATACATAAAAGGGGGTGAGGTGAGGATGGGTATGAACTGTCTCCACAGATAAGAAATAAAAATACTTTTCTCCGTTAGACATGCTACTGGAGTCCCAAGAGCAAATCGGGCGGCCTGAGAGCACCTGGTCAGCGTGTAGCGAATGGAAGGTATGTAGCGACAGATACAGCCTACGACGTAAAAGGCATAGATGATCTACCCGTATATTTGTAAGGAATCATGTAAGTGAGGCTGTTGGATGCCCTGTAACTTCCAAAGGACACAGTTCAAATGGAAATGTAGAAACAAGTTTCGATGTGATCATGCGCAAAGTGCCGCGTAGCCGGAGACAAGCGGGCAACAATGAAGGAGCCTAGCTGGATGACGGTAGGAACAACCTACGCAGCAAATGAAGAGTGCGGCCGATCGGAAGTACTGGCCAGTTGTAAGAAGGCGTTGCACATTGGAATGCAGATAAATCGTGTTAAACACAAGCGCAAATATGATTTAAAAGGCAAAGCGGGAGAAAAGAGATGCCAGAGGTATGAACTCAAAGATGAAGAAACTTGTGAACTGTAGTTTCATATCAGGAAACTGAAGGTAAGCTTACTTTCTAGAAGGACTGTGCTGCCCATCGCTTGCAAATGAGACAGAGACGTCGACAGCGGTGGGAGCCTTCTGTGCTGCACTGCTGTGATCCTTCTCAGAGAGCCCGTTAGGCGAGGAAGCGAGTGGTGAATTATCGCGAGACCCACGATCATCAGCTGTACGAAAATAGAAAGGGATAAAATGACTGAATGAGCTTGTTGAAGGAGGTGAAAGGAGGATTGCAAACAGCTACTAGTAGAATAGTAATCTACTCACTGCGTACAACATATGATAGAAGACGGAGTACGGGAGGCGAATAGGCAATTGAAAAAAACATGTTCGTGTACTGAGGAAGCCTAACATTTTGTAAATAAAACCGAAGCAAATCTCGGCTGAGTACAAAGCATCAAACAGCTGCCTCGGTATTTACGGCAGGGAAAAGGAAACATAGTGCACAAAACTTAATGCGTTCGATAGATGTCAGACTGCGGTTTGGTCATTTTAATGACTGCAGGTTCCAACTCACAATTGTCTATTAGATAATTAGGCTGGAAATTGCAAGTACACTCCTAGAAAGTAGAATTTAGGAACCGTGTGAGCCAAGTATTCCACGTTGAGCATTAATATGCAACGGATGATTTCAGTCATGCGAGTGAAATTGAAGAGGGTAGAGACATACGTGAAGATGTTACATCATGTCAGGCCGGTGCGGAATCAGTAAACAATGGATGTCGCAGTGACGCATGAATCATGCCAGGAATACCGATACAATCAATGACACATCTGAGTCGCAGAGTTGGAGAAATCAGACGAGACAAATGAGAACAATATAAACCGCCAGTGGTTTCATTATAAGGGCTACGCTTTAGTCACAATTTGAGTCGGTGACGACAGCTAAAGGACGATTGAGACCAGCACCGCTAAACGCAATCACAATTGCTCTGGTCACTCAAAGGCAGGAGCCAAATCATATTCAACCAGATTGTGGGGAGTAAATTACGGTTACAAAAGACAGGCCCACCAATTACTGCACCCAAAATCAAGAAGAGTACATCAGTATTAGTGCTCCTCGAACTAGTCATGGAAGACAGCTCTTTACGGATGGATGAGATACTGAGGGAGAGTGAATCGGTTTAGGGTCAGTTGAGAACATAGATTTTGTATCCCGTTCCGTCAAGGTTACGCACACGCAAAGCAGTTTCACAAAATAATAGTCTACTACATAATCGAATCTATGAAAAATCTGCAGTGCGGGTTGGAGAGCAGTCATTTAAGTTGAGATAGCGTACGCGATAGATAGATTAAGTAAGGCCGTGGATTAAGAGCACAGAGTTGGCAGAATCTGACCGGATGCAGCGTATTTAGTAAACTTCACCTTGGTGTAAGGGTCACTGATTGAGTTGTAAAGAGTGTAGCCACCATAAAATGAGAAGTGGTTTGTATTTAGTGCCCGAAATAATGAACGCGATCAATCACAAGTAAAATTAATTCCACCCGGCAGTCAGTAAGCGCCAGTATCGGAAAAAGCGTGATATTATTATACTGAAATTTGTGCTTCAGAAGCAGAATAGGTAGACAACTACACACTGGAAGAGCATCGAGAGTCGCAGATGGAACAAATGAGTTCGGTTGAACAATCATAAGCCGAGCACGTCGTCAGAAGAAGAATGAATAAAAACGGTAAGAAAATGAAGTTAAAAGCAAATAGAGAAGAGTTGAGTTAACTAATCGGGATGGATGGAAAATAAACGGCTGGATGCAAGAAACCAAATGCAGAAACGCTAGTTAGTGTGTGACTGCCCCATGTCCCATGCTGTCTACAAGCACTGGTGTGGATCATCTCAGAGCCACCATATACAAGGACTGCACGCACCAACACGATCAAGTCTCTCATACTTTATGCCATATCATCGAAGGACCACCTGAAGTTTTCGAAGAGGAAGCTAGTCGACGGACATGCGGAGGACATGACCTAGACAAAGTAAGCCATTATGATTCAGCAAACGTTCGAGTGAGATACCTGAAAGCTTCTTGTCAAAAACCAACTGGCAGATATCAGCCCTAATCACCCGGAATTCCCACCAGACGTGAGAAAACTCCGCAAGCACGGGCGGTCAAACACAGTCAAGAGAACTGGCCACGTCTCTGATCCGTACAGCAACACTGATCTTATCGCAGCGTTATACACTCTATCATTCACTGACAGACTGATATCCCGCAATCTCCATAGATGGTTGAGTCTCTGAAAAGCCACACGGGCCTTGCTGATACGCGAAGTAACTTCCTCGGTGATGTGATCAGCAGAGGTGACACAGCTAACAAGATAAGTGAACCAATTCACCAATTCCAGTGGCTGTTCGGTAAGAGCTAAAACCTGGGGGGTGTCGGTCCAGTCCTGTAACAGTAAGTTGCACATCGAATGTGTAAACCACATGCCGAAGAGTGCAGCGCTACATGTCAGTCAATCCAGTAAGTGCTTGTATAGACCCTGTGTCAGACCCAAGGAGAGCAATGTTGTCCGCATACTCCAGGCTTGTCAGTCAGTCACATGGCAGAACTCCCACTTCGGTGGAGTCTGAAAGGACGTAGTCATTCATGATGATTTCGATTAAGAAGATGAAGCGACAGATTGCCAGAAAATAAGGACGAGAGTCTCAGATTTAGTTCAATAAACGATGTGAAGCGAATGAACACGTCTCATCGGAGGTTAACTGTTTCGACTCTGTGCTGTTCATTTGCGATAGTTCGGTATGGGTTAACTGCATGCAGGAGCAGCTGAAAAGTCCATTGGTAGTTTCTGTTGGGGATCGTACACCACGAAGGCGCAATTCAAAATGGGACGCTACCGCAACCACAGTTGCTAACTGAGTTCCACATCAATAAGCACATTACAATACGCAAGAGTAACATTACGAGCTTTGTGTAAGAGAAGTAAGGGTTGAGATATCCGTTAAATTAAGTGGATGGCTCACTGGTACAGATTGGCGCGAGGTCGCAATGAGTAACAGTAATTCAAGGAGTATATGGTATGAATATAATAAATTACCAACCGAAGAGTTCGGTCAGCAGTCCGAAGCTCCGGGCTGGAAGCTAAAGCAAACCAAACCTAAGGAGTAGCTCATACAGAGCGAATTGATTGAAAATGCAGCTTGCATAGCAACAGTCAAGAGTGATCAGTTTAAGGTTGGACTGAGGAAACCAAATTTGAAGCAAAAAACAGCTAGGTGAACAAGCTTGTTTTTGATGATTCGCATTAGGCCAGCATACCACAGAAAATAGGAATAAAATACGAACACAGGGTATTTAAAAAGGGTGAGTCAATGAAGCGAATTCACCGGTCAGCGAGATTAAGTGACGGCACTGGCTAGGGCAATGTTGATGGAAGGGTTAAGTGCGGCATCGTTAAATGGGACGGCTTGAAGTCATGGTAGATGAAGAGCCTGTACAAACTGCGTTTGAGCACATAAGTTGAGGTTTCTGGAGCCGAAACCCGATCGCCTCTGCTGTCGCTAAAAGCGACATCGGAGGGCTCACGCGCGGCGTCCAGATATCTGGTAGATAGGTTGGAAGGCTTCTCGCAAGTTGACTTGATGATCTGAGTCGACCAAATGACACAACACCGCATTGGTTACTGTCTTTCTCACGCCAGTGTAGAGCCACGGCGGAAACTGTTCCCTGACTCTCTCAGACAGTCGCCTGATCGTCTTCAAATATAACTTGCTCGACAGGAGCAAGAAAAGTGCTACACACAGAAGGAACTATTCGACTTCAATATCATGTCTTTGAGACGTTGACTCACGACTGGCGTAGAAGTGAAGTTGACACGAAGGTCAGCTGCAAAGTAGGTTCACACGGTGGAATTGCAGAGCCTTCGGGTAGTTCGTTCCGCTATCACATCGCTCTTGGAAGGCTGCACACAACAACATAGTGTTCACCACAGAACTTGAAAGTAACGACTCTTTGTCATCACCAGAACATCGGACGGGACAGCACAGAGGAGAGCACACCGGAAGAGAACCTGGAACGGCCAGTATGTCCATTACGCCAGTTTAACTCCAATAACTCAAAAATGAAACCTTGTCCTCTGTCTAACGGAAAGAGCGAGGCGAATATGCACGGAAGACACGGTCTCGGATGAGATATTTCATTCGATGTGTTCTCGAACAAAATTGTTACCCGGACAAATTGATCCGAAAGCACATGGAGACACGAACAGCAAAAGCCCAAGCAATTACCGCAGAAAAACGGTTAATCTACTTTCAAGGGCGATATGATAGCGGAACGAACTACCCGATGACTCTGCAATTCCACCGCAAGAACCTACTTTGGCAGCTGAACTGCGCATCAGCTTCGCTTTACACCAATCGTGTGTCAACATCTCAAGGACATGATATCGAAGTCGAATAGTTCCTTCTGTGTGTAGCACTTTTCTTGCTCCTGTCGAGCAAGTTATATAAGAAAGACGATCAGGCGACTGTCTGAGAGAGTCAGGGAACAGTTTCCGCAGTGGCTCTACACTGGCATGTGAAAGACAGTAACCAATGCGGTGTTGTGTCATTTGGTCGACTCAGATCATCAAGTCAACTTGCGAGAAGCCTTCCAACCTATCTACCAGATATCTGGACGCCGCGCGTGAGCCCTCCGATGTCGCTTTTAGCGACAGCGGAGGCGATCGCTTTTCGGATCCAGAAACCTCAACTTTTGTGCTCGAACGCAGTTTGTACAAGCTCTTCATCTACCATGACTTCAAGCCGTCCCATGTAACGACGCCGCACTTAACCCTTCCATCAACATTGCCCTAGCCAGTGCCGTCACTTTATGTCATTGACCGGTGAATTCGCTTCATTGATTCATCCTTTTTAAATACCCTGTGTTCGTATTTTATTCCTATTTTCTGTGGCATGCTGGCCTAATGCGAACCACTAAAAACAAGCTTGTTCACCTAGCTGTCTTTTGCTTCTGATGTCTTTTCCGGGATTATTTTCTCAATCGAATCACAATTCATGGAGCCAAGATGGATGGCAATAATTAAGTGCTTTTACGATCAACAAATAACTACAGGCACTAGTTGTCTTAAATGACGCATCTCACGACAAATTTGGCCATTATTGATGAGCTTTGGGTAAAGATAACCGAATCGGGGACCTAGCGAACGTAAACAAATTGAGATTGTGCGTCACGATTCCCTCACATAACGGATACCTCAATTGACCAAGTGAGCAAAACCAGACGAAGCGCTGGTAGCTAAGAGTGGGTGTTCAGTTGTTGCGGTGTTCGTCGAGCTGGGAAATTAGCCGCAAACGTTTCATCACCATTCGAGATGACATAATCAGTGAGTGGAAGTTAGCAGTTTCAGAGAAGTTGGTGGAAGATCCATACCCGGATTTGCCCTTCAACAGCCTCTGCTACGAAACCTCACCCTCCTATGCACTGATGCCACCAAGAATGGTGATGAAACGTTTGCAAGAGAAGTGCCTAGCTCGGCGAACACTGCAGCAACTGCATGTTTGGCCGCTCTGACAAGCGCTGCTTGTGTAGCTTTACGATTAGTGATGTAGGTGTCTGCCGCCAATTTCTATGTTTCAATTTAAGAGACCTGCCATCACAGCACTACTTAAATGATCCCAACAAGGGTGAAGCAATCATGGAGTGCAGTGTCGAGAGCGAACTATACGAAAGTATAGCTGTCGTTATGAGTAGTTCGGCAAAGAAAGAGAACGTGGACTCGTGAGCAGCATGGATGCTCGAGGAAGTAAACTAGCCACCACCTGCACGGGTAGAATATGGACAGCAGTACCCAGTGAACAAGATAGTGGGAGCAAGAAGTCAAGGTTAAGCTATTCACGTACAAAAAGTAATCACATGCGAATAGAGCTGGCATGCAAACATGCATCGTCAACATTGACAACCACAGCACATTAGTTCAGTGTCCTGATGCTTCGTTGATATGCAACTGTGAACAAAAGAAGACTCAATAGATGAGGAATAAAAAAGGAAGTGAGGGGCACAAAATGCAGTGTAAATGCCTCAAACCGACGTTAAAGTTGACGGCGCTTGCCTCTTGTAAATGGCGAGCAGCCAAATATGGATGGGTTGTCATTTGAGGGTAATGCGGCAGCGCGGTTGCAGTATTTATAGCCCCAAACACAGCTAACTTTACTCCGCTGATAAATCAGCCTTATGCACAATTCAATCATCTGATCAGGCTAGAAGACAGCGGAAAACATGCCATCGGCATCGGCCATAGGCCATATCCCCTGGTGCCTCAAGCAAAGCACAGGGATGTGTGGTTCAGTTTGGAAGAAAGAAAGGCTGAAGCGTCGAGAAGAGCAAGATGCTAACATTATACGCTATCTGGATGTAATGGAAAGGAATAATGAACTAAATGAAAGGGGTTCAAGAAATGTGTCCTCGGGAAGAGGAACGAAAGGGCTATTAACGTCGTAAATATCAACTAACTCACACTGACCCGGATCCACTAAAACTTTCGAAGGATCGTCGTCAAAATTAGCCCATGCGTAGAGATTATCCGTGGATGTATCTGCCATTGCAGCAGCCGACTGCCCATAATCCCAAGGACTGACTGAAAGTGAAAAAGATGAAAACAGGTGTTATCACCACCATCATTGTAACGACGGAACAAGACAAAATCGAGTAACGCCGCACGTATTGTGTATACCTATTGCTACTTCGAGCTATAAACCCATGATTCCACGCATGGTCTGGAAGAAGACTGTTGAGACAGAAGAATTTGTAATATAATCCTGCAACCGTGGTTCTAAAGGGCAGAATAATATATAAGATAGGATTTACGACTAGGTTTGCAACGGCGGGCGGAAAAAGATAAACGTAGTGGTGATGTTAATAGCAGACTGATGAAAGCGTGAGCTTGAAAAAAGCGCATGCAAATGAAGCGAATGTAAAACGGTACCTGTTTGAGTATGCAGTAGTTCAAAGCATGAAAAGCATATTATCAGCTCGGAAGATTGAAAGAAGTGGGAATAGGAACACTGAGCCATCAAGAAGGCATAATCGATTTAGTACAAAAAATCCAAGTTCTTTTGGACTTTACAATCCTCTGCAGTCATCCTCGCCCGTTCGAAGCCTCTTATCTTCAGCATCCGTTCCGGTATCGATTCTCAACATAGCGTCGTCTGATAGCTATTGCATGAAGTTCGCTGTTCTTATCGACAGTCATCATTGTTTCAAACTGGCCTCTTAGGTTTGCATTCTTTGGAGCAACTGCCACTTGCGTAAAATGCTTTGTTTACTTCTGACTATGTCTCTAGTGTTGCAGCAATCTGAATCGCTCACGTAAGCAGACAGCACATTCCCGAATGACTCTGAAATAGGAATCGTCGTCAGGGTAACGGCATATGACACATTGATGTAGTGTGTCTCGGGGAACAGGTATTCCAAAGAGTTATTATTCATCTCGATGCGCGTGTGCACCCCAGCCCCACAGTTGCTGATTCAAGGAAATGCTTTCTTTACCAATGATGTCAACTGGTCGGAGAGACATTAGCACCAACAGTTGAATATCTGTTACGGTAGAAAACCGACGTAAACTGCCTGAAGAATTGCTGTGGTTGGTTCTTTTATGTGCGGCTGTCTTCTGCAATCGCAGTTTTAGTTGATACTTATCTCCGTAACAGGTAGACCAATAATGATAAGATCTTTGGCAAGAGAAACAACCGGAAAAACTTGGTGTAGTAATACTGAGGCCTTCGTTATCAGTAGAAGAACTCTAGGGTTAGTATGGAAAGGCATGCTCGGGGTTCGTGGCGATCATTAGTCCGGTTAGTTCAAGGACTGGAAGGCAATCGTCCATGTACTGTAGGGTATCGCAAGCGAGACCCATAGAATGACAAGTTTCGGCGATGGCAAAGAGAATTGAATGAATTTTCTTGGGGCACTCCCGCAGAACTGATTTAAACTGATCTTTGGCAGATGCTTGTAATTTGATCCGACCGAACACAACCCAAGCGAGTGGGTTTCTGTTGGTGTACGGATCACTGGGGACCACCGTGCTTCCGTCCCAACGCAAAATAGAAATTATAACTAAAATCTTGCTACTTATGAGTAATATAAAATAAATAACCTCAGCTTAAATGCTATAGATATAGCGCCTAGCGAGAGGACGGCACCATCTCGCAGTCTAGCCACTGTCAGTGGAAGATAGGTCGTGCTATAACCAAGCTAGCTTGCAAATTATGTAACGCAGCCAACGTCCCCCATGGCTCAGTGGCTTAAGCTGTTGGCTAGTTGTCATTTGCCTCCAGCGGTCATGGGTTCGATTCCCTGTAGGGGACCAAGCAAATGCGCACCGCTGACGAGCCCCAATAGGGCGAAACGCGTCTGGTGATGTTCCGGACTAGCCTGTGCTATGTAGCTTGTGAACTACTTGGATGAATACTTCAAAAATCACAACTAAAATCCTGCTACTTACGAGTAAGAAAGGAGTTGTCGTTTAAAACCAAAAAGCGCACATTTCCCTCTAGCTCCGGCAGCTACAAGTAAGACAAATGAGCCCATTTCTGTAGGTTTTCCTTTTGGGAGCCTACGATAAATTCTTGCTGAAGACCGCTGACTGATCTGACGGGATTTAGCCCAATGGTCAAGTCTCTATTCGTCGAGTAGACCGTTAGCTTCGCCAGTTGTGACTCCATCTGACACTGGCTAGTAATCGTACGAACGCTCAGCATCGCGGTCCCTCGCATGGCCCGCAAGTGACAGCTGTGTTAGGGGGCAATGACGGACAGCACCTGACCTCCAGCCCTGAACGTGCGTCCGCATTGTCGGAGCACTTCGCTTCCGTATTTACAAGTGGGCGTACGCTTTTGCCGAGCTCTACGTGTTCCACCCCTACTGAACTGGATAGCCTGGATTGTGATGTCCGCAGTCTACTCCGTAGTCTTGACGCAAGAAACCTTCCAGACCCGATGGGCTTCATTCGCATATCTTAAGGTGCTTATCGGCCATCAGCTCGCCTGCCGTAGCGGATCTGTTCAACAGATTGATGTCCGAGGGTGCATTGCCGAGCGACTGGAAATGCTCGGTAGTGAAACCGATTCCAAAAGGCGGTGACCCACGCAATGTGGATAGTTACCGGCCAATTTTTCTTACCTCTGTTTTGGCGAAGGTGCTTGAGATTGTGAAAACTGGGCTTCTTCAGCTGCTGGAGTCGAACGATCTCCTAGCGGCGGCACTACTGTTTGCGATAAATCGTCCGGTACTGTGCGTGCAAACGCAACTGAGGCAGCCTATTAGATTGTCTTGGTTTTGATTGCTCAATTTTGATTTAGCCTTATAATTTCGTTCCACATGCACATAGGTTAATTTCCCCCCCCCCCCACATGTATTACGTTTGCGATTGACGAGAGGAATCGAAATGTTAACATATCGCAACCTTTGCCTTCTGCCTGCATTTACCAAATGGGTAAAGGGGACACAATGTTTCGTGTCTCATCGGTGTCTACGAAGCATTACTGGTGTCGGGTGGCACCAGCGTGTCCGCAACGATGATGTGTGTAGGCAAGAGCCAGGTAATGACAATCAAGCTACTTCCTTAGAATAACAAACGGCACTGAATAAGTGACGTTGTATTAGGTACATAGTGCGTTTGCCCGGTCACCGTTTACAGAGGAGGAACTTGTTTTGTTTGCCTAATGTAGACTGGCGCAATGATTGGGGAGGACAGAAGTTAAATTGGCAGCGGGAAAGGAAGGCATTGACGACCAAACTGAGTGCCGTTGGTCCGGTAGTGTTCAACGGCGTGATGCGTTTTCGCCTGGCAAGCGTTCGCCCTATAGAAATCCACAAATGTCTGCCTAACAACGTGGCGGATATGACTCAGCACTAGATGAGGTCACTACCTTGATATACCGGAGGATCTTACCCATTTTCCGAATGCCAACGGTTCCTATATTGGCGAATTCATCAAACAAACTCACAAATCTAGAGCATTAGTAACAAATGCATTCAACTCGATGACTTACATATGCACCCGAATACATACTACACATACATACATATATCCAGTATGTGCTGGTTAACTTGTAACATGGCTGTACCATTACTGATGTTATGCGTTTGTATTACTATAAATGTGCCTTTGAAGGCGTGTCACGCACCGTAGGGAATAAATTATTTATTTATTTATTATTGTGATAAACCCTATTTCTGTTCGTAGTAGGGCTTATCAGCAATATTTTGATGTTTAGATTCGAGACATTTGGCTTGGCCCGGGATCAGCAACAGAAGTATTGTGCGACCTTATTATCAGCAGGAGCATAACGAAATGGTGACAACAGGTTCCATGGGGGATCAGATCCATCACTGAGCAGATGCATCGAAGCTGTGGTCAATTCCTAAAATCAATGATGGGGTGAGTCTGGGAGCAACTCGGGATAAGTGTCGTTAAGCTGGGAGATGCCCATTATCAGTTTAATAGGTAAAAGGAATCGATGGATAGTGCAGGAAAACCGTGTATCTAAAAGCCACTTTGACAGGGTGTCTAAACGAAGCACGAGTATCCTACTTTGAAAACATGCCGGTTCACGAGTTAAGCCACGGTAGAGGTTGAAATAGTTTATTCCGCAACGATGGATACGCTTACGACATTTGAACTTTTCATTAGAACCTATCTAAGCAGCAATTTCTGCTCAGACAATCTACTGTCGTGCTCATTGACCAAGGGTTTCCTATGACTCAGTTGGTCGAACTTGTCTGTGGTGTTGTTTCGCTTTGACGGTCGGACGAAAGATATTTCAAATTCCAAAGTCGCCACGGTACGAGGCGTCTTCATAAAGTAACCGAAGTTATGCTATAACATTTTTATTGCTCAGTGCGCAGCATTTTAAGCACTTTCCCCTGAAAGTAGTTTCCTTTACTGGCAATACACTGTTTCCAACGGCGCTTACATTTTTGGAAAGCCTACTAGAAAGCACTGGAATGGCGCGCAGGTCTCTTTTCGCATCGTCCTGTATCTCCTCTGTAGTTTGATAACGACGTCTTCTCAATGTGGTTTTAAGTTTGGGAAACAGAAAAATGTCTGCAGGGGCTAGGTTCGGAAAATACGGGGAATGGGGCACAAGGGGAGTGTAATGGTTTACTAGAGATGTGCGGACCAGGAGCGATGCGTACACCGGCGCATTGCCATGATACAACATCCAAGTATGGTTTTCTCATAGTCTAGGCCTCTTCCTGAGCACGGCATCCCTCAAACGCGATAAAACTGGTTGTTAGACTTTCTGGTTTACCAACTAAGCACGTGGTACAAATTCCCGATGCATAAAAGCCTTTGCAGTCAAAAAAACACAAAAAATATCACCTTGATCTTTGACCGACACATTCGTGCTTTTCCGGACCAAAGGACCCTAACCACATCCACTGCGATGATCTTACCATCGTTTCAATATAGTAGCCATATTCAACGTCTCATCGTCTGTTATGATGTGCTAAAGGAAGTTTTCATTGTCATTGGCAGTGGCAAGCACATCCTGGCTGATTTCAACACGGTTCTGTTTCTGATCGTCAGTCAACAAAAGCGGCATGAATTTTGCACTGATACGCCATAACACAGGTTTGTCACACAACATGTGATGGTATGATCCTACGCCGATACCCCCTTAATCAGCAACTTCTCGAACAGTGAAATGATGATTTTCACCGATCACAGCACGAACTCTCTTGACATTGTCATCGTCTGTTGAAGTGGAAGGTCGTTTAGGCTTCGAATCGTCACCGGCCGATATTCTCCGTGTTCAAAACACTTAAAGCACGTATAGCAATGCGTGCGACTCATACAGTCCTCACCGTATGCTTAGCTGAGAAACTGAAATGCCTCTAAAAGTGTTGGCAAGTTTGTAGCAAAATATAACACACATGTTGTTATTAAAGCTCTTTCATTGTCACTTTGGCACCACCCGAAGAACAGCTGGTGTATGTGCTCACTTTAGCGGCTGTAGCTCGCCAACTGTCAGTCAGAGCGAAATGCGGCAGATGGCAGCTTGTTGTCTAAACAAGCCTCCAGATGCCCACAGTAGCCGCAGCGCGCTCCCTCTGCCGGTTGGCGCGATATTTCAAAAGTTCAGGTTCTTTTTGGACACACCACGTACAGATCCTGGGAGTGTGTAATGAGCCGCGGAAAACTGTTTGTTGAGTCTGGTAAGTTTGTGAACGCCGCGAACTTTGTGCTTGGACTTAAAACCCTAAACAATTGGGAGCCGAAAATTGCAAAATCTGATATGATTTATAACAATGAAAAGCGTGAATGCAGGAAGTGATGTACTCGTTAGCAGTTTTCACTAATACACAAGGGTAGACATATTTATGTACCCAGGTAGCGGTACGGCTTCGGTAGACTAACGCACTGTGGAGGCTGTTGTGTGTTGTAGTGTGATACGTATGACGCATGGGGGAGGAGAATGAGATAGAAAATGACGAGAGAGAGAGCTAGTAAGTAGAGAACAAGCAACATATTCTTCGCAGCGAAAATTAACGGTCGAATTGTGAAAAGTCTCACAAATGCTCAACCGCTCTGTGACACAGGACTCACTTGGAGTAGTGGAGGCGATGATGGGCTGAGTCAGGGAATCTCCAGAACGTTGCTGTTTAATAATCATAGGTGAATGAAGATCCTCCTCCTCGTCGTCCGCGTCGCTGTCATGGCAGCCAAGTCTGGCGTGAGGATCTTCGTCTGGTTCACTCTCATCGCTGCTCACACTGGCGATGCGAGCACATCGAAAGCCGTCCGGATTAAGATCCATCAGATTTTGTGAATCACCCAGTCCAATAACAGACAAAGAGGAGCCTTGGCGTGGTCCGCAAGCATCATCGGTATGCATCCACAAATTGGAGGAGGTTTCGTTCGGTTCCAAGTATGGGTCATCGACATCTACGGCGTTAGCGTCAAACTGAGTGCGAACGCTAAGATCTAGCTGGTCGCCTGATGTAGCATTACAAGCCGTGCTACCTGAGGTAGCCCCAAAACTCAGTGGACCAAGAAGTAAGGAAAGCCTACAATGAGGGAGAACCAGAAAAGGAAGAGTGACGGGAACACGATGGGAAGTAACATACACGTGAATAAGAGCGACAAGAAAAGGCAACCGCCCAGCAAGCAAAAGGCGTGTGATCTGATAAAAGCGTACGCAGAAAACAGGCACAAGAAAAGTTACTCACTTTCCAGAGCCGCCGACAGTGGACGACAAACTGAGGAGCTAGAAGAAGAGAAAACCAAGTTTTCGAGAAGGCAAAACAGGTTGTTGAATATAAGAACGAAGCGATAAGACAGAGGCGGCGAAATACGAGGTTTAACATGAACCACAATCGGCTAAGAACAGGAACTCATAAGTCAGGAAGTTATTTAGTCAGTGAAAACAAAAAGCATCGTATATTACCGAATATAAGCCCGTACATCGATAAGTCTACAATATAACTACGCAACATCAAATTTGTACATTAGCCGAACCCAAAAAAAAACAAAAATGGAAATGAAATTGTTTCTCCCCGATGTTTACTTCATCACCACCTGCTCACAATTGAGTGTGTTCGTGTGAAAACTGCTCTACTACTGGTCGGTTGTGGTGACAGTAATGTTTTATGAACGCGGTCGATGGAGCGTAGAGCCATCAGAACAAAGACTCACCGCGCTCGACAGCTTATTAATTGCATGTGAAGTCACATGAAACAGGTAAGACAGCCAACAATATGGGGTAAGGTGAAAGGGTATGGCAGACGTTCCGCCTCTCATAGTGGGGGGCCTCATGCGGTGAGTGAGAGTGAAGTTCATGGTCAGTGGTGTGGACACACGGTTGTATTTTTAAGGCACCGGATCGCCTAGCATAGTACAATGCATAAGCGTTTTGATTCGCTACCCAACGACGTCACTTGATCCAGCTGAGAGGGAATGTGCCTGCATTTCGTGTGATCATCCAAAGTCACGGAAACGTGAACAAATGTCTCAACAGAAGCGATGTGCATATGTTGCTGGATTTAAATTGAAAGTTATCGCGTTTGTCGAGCAATCTACCAATTGTACGGCTGTACATCCTTTCACCGTGAATGAAAAGCAAGTGAGATAATGGCGCGAGGAAAAGTCAGAATTGTCACTAATGCCTGTAGTCAAGAGAGCAACACGTGGGTTAAAAAAATCACGTTACCTGCACTGGAGGAAAGCTAAGCGCAGTGGAGTATAGAGTCACGGCATAGCGGGTTAATTGTTACCCGAACGAACATTCGTATCAGAGCGCTCACAATGTTGAAAAAAATCCTGTATTCCAACCATCAAAACCAGTGAATTTTGTTGCTTCCTCGGGATGGTACAATTGTTTTATGGACCGATTCGAGTTGTGACTACGGATCCGCAGAAAACTAGCCCAGAAACTGCCGAAGGGATTAGATATTGAAGTGGAATCTTTTCAAAGGTTCTTGATTCAGCTAAGAGAGCATTTTGAAAAAGAGAGGTGAGAGAGGTTTTGAACTGTCGCGAATTGGAAATATAGACGAGACGCCCGTGTGGTTTGATATGCCTTTAAATCGCAGAGTGGAGCATAAAGACGTTAACACGGTTTTTGTAAAGACAACGAGACACGAAAAGACACGGTTCACAGTTGCCTTGGGGTGTATAGCAGGTGGCTCAGGTTTGTCACCTTTCATTAGTTTTAAGCATAGGATTGAAGTTCCCAAGCGGCGTGTTTGTGCGGGATCACGCAAAAGGATGGATGGACGAGAGTGGCACTTTAGGCTGTATTAATACAGTTTGGGAAAAACGAAGCGATGCTCTTTTAAAGCAACCATATGTGCTGGTTTGGGATTCCTTTAGGGCACACTGTGCTGAGAACGTGAAGAAACGATGCTGTGCGCTGAAGTCGTCCGAGGCTTTAATTCCCAGTGGAGTTACATCAATTCTGCAGCCACTAGATGTCTGTCTCAATCAGCCCTCTAAAAATAGACTTCGAGCAAGGTGGGCTGCATGGATAGCATCGTCTGATTTAGTGTTGACGAAGAGTGGCAGTCTGAAAAACGTTGCTATTGTTACGATTGCAGAGTGGGTGAAAGTAGCGTGGCTGGACATTCCGTCAGAAATTATCGTCCGATCATTCAAATAATGCTGCATCCGTAATGCGAGGGATGGAAGTGAGGACGGTGCATTTCTTGAGGAACACGACTATGAGGATATTCACGCTGACATCCCAATGACAGACGATCTGTTTAGGGACTCCGACTCGGATTCTAGTTTCGAAGGACGCGAGTAATTTGTCTTACCATTGTGCAGCGTTTGGATATGGAAGAGTCATAAGCCGGTGGTGCAAAGTGGAGGTGTGCAGTGAACTCCTGGGTAGATTTTGCATGCAATTTTTTTCAGATTGCGTATAACCTTTTTATATCCCGACACCACCGGTATGGAAATGGAGAAATGTCCAAAAATCATCGGTTTATATACGTACTATACGGTAACCGCATTGTCCATTGATAGCAACGTAACACTCAACCAGACTGTACAGGGTAGGTTGGATGGGAAGACAGTAACCACTGAGAACCAGGTTTGTCCGCCGGTGACCGCTGGTCCGACTCACTAACAAACGAGCTAGGAGTTGGTTAGTTGAGCCTAACCCGTGTGAGATAAAAACCTATCGAGCAATCTCAGTGAGCTCGGCATATATTCGGTAATATACGGTAATAACAAAATCATCTGTATCAAAGCATGTAATTAACTACCTAGTCAGTATTGATTTTCCATCAGCGACTAGGCATTAGTGGCTGGTTACTGAATTAGACAATTTTCTGTTACAAATTTTTTTTAACCTAAAACACGAATGGAAGCCTTCAAAGCAGCGCAGCCATCGGCTCGCTGGGCGATCGTACTTCTTTCGAGTGAGGCATTCGTTCGCCGAGTCGAATTACAATGTTGCGTGAACAAAAGATGGGAGCATATATCAGCCGACCAGGTAAATGAGTGAGCGATTGTTTACCACGTAGAAAGGATAAAAGAGACCATTCGTGTTCAGGGAGTATCGATACAGAGTGGTGTTGGGAAGCTGTTACCCAAGAAGAAGGACTTGGAAGGGGGCTGAAATAAATGAAAAGCCACTGACATCTGTTCACGTTTGATTAGAGGGATTATACGCAGAAACAAGGAACCAACTGAACTTGGAGCATGATTTCCAGTGTGCATCAGTCGAAACCGCACCAAATATCCCTTAAATTGTTGCAATATCGCCCCTGACTTGTTTAAAAATTACTGAAAAATGGATGTTTTCTCTATTTGAATGATCGATGTAACTAAAAATAGCATTCATTTTCTGTAATTTAAAGCAAAAAATGCAGTAGCTGATAATTAATTAGGTTAAAACCAAAATTTTTTAGGGGTAATTGTCCATATCGAATGCGTTTTGTGGGTAACAGCCTCAGAAAGGTTGAGAACCATGGTTAGACGAACTGTCCGCTGAGCTTGACACATTTTTTGCAAATGTTTCGTCACCAGTCGAGGTGACATCATCAGTCCGTTAGTGTGTAGCTTAGCGCCAGTAAATGTGAACTGGGTAGTCACGCGCGTGCGTTTTTACAAGTCATCGTCATCGGTCGTTCGGGCATGTGACCTGACAAATGAACAACCTGAGCTACCAACATTTACTATCTCGGTTCTATGCTGTTACATTTGCTTACCACTGAATGCTGCCGATTTAGCGCCGGTACGCTCACGTTGACTTATGCATTTGATCCATACCATTTCCATGTAAACTTAGGTCACAGGGGTTACAAGTTCAACCGACTGGTTCTCAAAATCCTATGGGACCATTACAGGTTATTCTGAGTGTAAATCAAATTCAGTCGGGTGACAGTGACATGCGCGCCTCCAGTTAATATGGCATGGATGCACTGACATAGCAATGTGTGCACATGCATGGGACACAGCCCGGGTGTAGGAACATGTTAGTGCCTGAGGGCAGCAACGGTGTGCTAGGATGAAACTGTGTCGATGCAAGATAAGGAATTTCGGCGCGATCCACAGCACCACTATAACAGTGTGTATTGACGAACATGGTTACTGGCTATTCGCATTCTGACACGGCAGGCAGTCCAAGTCGGTACAAGCAAGCGCGTGCTGTCTACACATGGCGTGCGCGAGTGAACAGGCGTAATACCAGTGACGTATTGAGGCGCATGGGGTCACGGCTAAGTTTGGGCAAAGCGCGAATTCGCAGGTGGATATAGCCACCAGTCACTGATGCGATGACCGCAGCGCCCTAGGCGTCCTGCCATCATGCGAATGTGCTGGGCGACGTAACAACCTGTGCGCCGAGGTTGTAATGCAATGTAATGGGTGATCTGTGTGCTTATTCCGCAGTTAGCACGCACTGCGTTTTAAAGCAGCGGGCGACATATACACTGAGTAACTAAGTGGATGCTTGAGAAGCGCCGCAAGCTGATAGAGTGTGAACCACAAAATCGTAAGACGAAAGTGGCACCAATTAATAGCAAACTCCGCGCAAAACGGTTAGGCATCTCCATATCAAGGCACGAGACAACCACACGCAGTTTGTTTGTCTTAACGGTATTTGTTCTCATGTATTGCAGACCCCTATAGTCAACAGTGCTAGGAACCCCACACAAATTAACACGTGGGTCCGAAGCCTGAGTTTCGTAGCCTACCCAGTCCATTGTGCAAATGTTACGGAAGGCACCGCATGGGGAGATAGGTATGTTCGGTGGCCACACGGAAGGAAGACCTGCATACAGCGTTTCGTTGTGGTGATGATTTGACAGCGCGGAAGCACCGATAATTAACCGTAAACAGGTCCCACATTCGGTTCAATGGGGCAACCAGTTTCGCCAAGTTGGGTGGGCATAAACCGCCTAGCCCAATGCATGGGCGATTTGAAGAATGGGGCTCGGAAGATGCGCCGTAGTGAAATAAACTAGCAGCAAGGTTGTGAATGGTCACTTCACCGAAGGATGGCACAAAGAGGACCTTACGCACGCTACTTCGCAGATCTGAATATTGAAAACGTATGAGAAGAGATACGATTGGAAGCACGTTGCCGGGGTGCTTAATGTTAACGTGAAAACCTGCTACAGCTGGATACAAACACTGGAGTCAACAGAACCTAAGGGACTGCATGGAGGACCTCGTTACACAGTCTTGACAGACAGTCAAGAACACGCTCTGGTTGAGTGGGTGTCTGCGGATCCAACAGTTAGCTTGAAACTCTTCGTC